GTTTTACAGGTGACAAGTTTTGGACCAGCAATGGGGTACCACAACCTCACCGCAGACTCAAAGGCCATGGGGTTTGCAAAGGGCTGTTGTGTTGGCCATGGGCAGCAAGACCTTGGCTTCAGGCAGGGCTCCAGGCAAGGGTGCAGTGCAGGGAAAAGGAGTCTGAAAACACAGAGCAAAGGGAATTCCCTTGCACCACGGTGAGAACTGTTTTCAGCTGCTAAGATGAGAAATTATTAGCAATAACCAGCATTGAGCTATGGCATTCTAACTATTTACTCTCGTTACTGAAATGTATGTGAGGTGCATGTATCACTCTCAAAAGGCGCTGCACCTCCATAGGAAGCATTGATTTATATTTAAAAAACATAATTGTAAACACAGATGTTCAATCACAAATAATTATATTTCCAGAAGGTCAGCATATTTATTGTCTGTCAGTTACTCGGTCGAAAATTATGATGCTTGCTTCATTTCTTTGAAGCTGTTAAAAAGTATCTTTTCCATCCAGTTTCTCAGGTTGTTGCACACAATAGTTGAAAGGCCATGACCCATAACAGTCAAAGGTTAATCTGATTTTCAGATCCATCAGCTGGAGCAAGGAGAAGCTCGTGCAGATTGCCTATTGTTGTGGCAAGTTCCCGCGGCTGCCTCTGCCACGGAAGCAGAGATGTTCAGGCAGTCCTGATTGCACTTTTCCCCACCAGCCTGCTCCAGAGCTGAACCGACTGCTCCCTGATGCATCCTGTTCAGGCTGATTTCAGGGCTCCAGTCTATTCTTTTTTAGGACTTCTGAAGAAGCCACAGTTTCTGCTATCTCAGAAGACCTTTACATCAGCGCGATGGGTGTGCTGCAACACAACTGAAACAGGCTCCATTCCCAACCACTGAAGCTCCTCAGTGTCACCATACATAGGATAGCTGTAACTAGCATAATGCTAAAGCTCTCTTACGTGTCTGCCCCTTGGCTGGCAGCACTGTAGTACTGAATGAAGTCCTGGATTTAATTGCTAATTCAGTTCAAATTGGGAGAAATGGAGCAGATATAACTGTCACATTTTTGTGCTTTGGACAATCTATTTTAGAAAGAAGCATGAAAAAATATCATTTTACTACATTATTATTATTAGTAGTAGTGATAGTATCATTATTATCATTATAAGGAGGAAGTTCTTTACTGTAAGGGTGGTGAGGCACTGGAATGGGTTGCCCAGGGAAGTTGTGAATGCTCCATCCCTGGCGGTGTTCAAGACCAGGTTGGACAGAGCCTTGGGTGTCATGGTTTAGTGTGAGGTGTCCCTGCCCATGGCAGGGGGGGTTGGAACTGGATGATCTCAAGTTCCTCTCCAATCCGAACTATTCTATGATTCTATGATTATCACTGTTATCATCATTATTATTCTTACGTTCACCCTGCAGAAGACTGTTAAGAGCTATAACTACTAGTCCATAAAATAGAAACTAAAAACCAAAGACAAATGAAGCCAAAACCCCTTCATTAAATAAAACAAGGTGAGGAAGAATCCATTTAAATAAAGCTGTCATGAGCATTAATAAAAGAGAGAGATCAAGTTATAAAACAAGTGGTTGAGGGGGGAAACTATGCGCTTATCTAAGCTAAAAATTGTTTAGGTCCCACAATACTGACTGGTCTTTGCAGAAAATGCAGCAGAACTGTAACAAAAGAGCTTTGAAGGGCACTGTAGAAGAAAGGACAAAATTTACAGTATCTTATTACACAACTAAACCAGGAGAGCTCTTTTTTTCACTCTTAACACAACTTAGCAAATATTTACATACACACTTTTACCTTTTCCTAAGACTTTTGGAAGTGCCAACTAATTCTAAATACTTGCTTTTGTCTTACTTATTTGTCTTTCTTTGGCTATCGACAAGAGTCTGCATATTAGTTGTAGCAATCTGAATGACAGCATATTAATATCAGAATGTCACGTGTTTGGGAAAGCAAATAGCCAGGCTAACTATGAAGGGCCCAGGCACCTCATGAGCAATGCTGAAAAGAAACAGAATGAAGGGGGAAGCAGCTTTCCTGCTTACAGAAGATGCCGGGATTATGATTTCTGAAAGTATAAATGTATATGTATATATAACATATAATTTATAATATATAATATACATTATATAATATATATTATATATTTTATCTATATAATATAATATAATATATATAGTATATATGATTTCTGAGGTAAACTCAGCCTGAAGTCTAGGAGTGCTGGGGTTTTGACAACTTGCTCAAAAACCCCACTTCCTTCCTCAGAACGGCTGGCTGAGAACAACTGCTATGTAAGGCAGCTGGGATTTTGTACACACAGGCTGACATTCTAAACCTTGAAGTTCTGTCAGAACTGCTCATTTAATTAATAGTTAAGTAAATAAATCAATAAAAGTAAATTAAAAAAAATAAGAAAAAAGGCAGCACTGCCTCAGTTTGAGCAGGTCTGATGGTTAAGGCTCACCCGTGCTGCAGGAAAGACCCTGGCCAATACACAGTTGAAAGCCGGTGCCTGGCTCTCCTGAGCTGCAGGAAACCTTGTGCAGCAGGAGCCACAGCCCAGATGTAGGGGAAGGATCCTTCTTCATGTCTGCCATGTGCTCCTGAGCTGCTGTCAGCAGATGAAGCCCTTTGCCCACCCATCCCGCTTGCTCTTGAAACAGCCCCATTTAAGGAGTGTCTGCAGAGAAGGCAGCTAGCAGGTTACTCAGAAATTCCCCACCGCTTGGCATATACAAATCACTTCCCTGCGTGCTTAACCCACTCTTAACTCAGGCACAAGACAAGCCCATTATTCTGAAATACGAATTCCAAAATGCCGAGGCAGTTGAAACATACGTGCCTGTGCTCAGCCAAGCTGTTATTGCTGTCCCATAACTCCAAGCACCTACAAATACCCACATGTCCTTTTATCTGCTCATTTTCCCATGGTCTCTGCATTGCAACCTATTTGATTACTTTCAGGGGGTTTTGCTGAGACTGCTAGAAAAATTGTTGCCATCACTGAGGTTTTGAAGCATCTCACATCCTCATCAGGGCAAGATGTTCTTTCACAGGAGCCAGGGCAAAGGAATCCCAGAGAGGATATAATCATTCTGCTCCACCTCCCCTATGAAAAGCTGCCAATGGGAGCACATAAACAAGCTAATCCCTATTCCATCCCATTATTAGCAGATTTAGCTACAGGCATTAAAAAGGAACAGATAATGGAAAGTAAGTAGAGGCTGTAGAAGCAAAATTGTGATGACTGTGATGATTATGATGATGATGATGACGCTTATAGTGAAATCAGAAGTTTATTTTCAGGATACTTGCAGATAGGTTTTTGTAGAAAAAGTAATTCTGTGTATTTTAGCAAACATGAAATTCCTACAGGCTTATGGACAGCTTACATTCAAGTATCTATTTATTTGTATTTATATAGATTGCAAGCAGTTATAAGATTATGTGACATCTCTTATTGGGATTGCCAGTCAATTAAGATCCCTTAGGGCCTTTCTCCTGCCTAGGTACCTAATTCAAGGCTGCTCACGCAGCTCAGGATGTTGCAGTTACTAGTCCTCCACTGTGAGCCGGAATACGAACCCACTTTTCTGCCATGAATGCTTTCCCCACTCCGCTATGCAGCATGTTTTTGAGGGAGGACAGGGTGGTGGCAGTGCTCCATTTTCTCCTTAGTACTTATGGGAAAGGGCAGAAAGGATGAGTCTGCACAAGCAGGAGGAAGAGGCTCTGCTGGAGAATGGGACACCTGGGTTCCAGCCCCTGCTTTGTTAAAGCCCATCCTGCTTCAGTACAATACTTGTGCTCTGAAAATACCTTCTAGATTAAGTCCTGCTGGTGATAGGAATCTCTAGCTCTCAGATCCATAAAAGCATAGGGTTTTAGCCACTCAGCATGACCAAGAGCGAAGGTAGTTAGGTAGTTTTCCATGTGCACTGAATTTGGGAGAGGTAGACAACTTCTGGCTGCAATTCCTACCTGCCACCCCAGACCCATGTCCATGTGTCATATCAGCATGAAACCCGTGCATGCAACAGTTTTATCCCTAGTTTCACCGTAGTCTAAAAGAAACCTTGGATGTCTGCTTGCTCCTCCCATGCCCTCAGCCCCCCTCTGACATAGGCAATGCTCAGAGGAAGACCTGCAGATGAAAGGCACTGTGCCATGAAAGGTGGATCCAGCTGTAAGTCCCTACAGCCTGTCAAAGCAAAAATACTTCCAGGTTTTTGTCACCTTGTGGTTAGGACAGCAAGGGAAAAAGAACAATTTGCCCTAAATTTTGTGCTTGAGAATGAAATACATGGAAATTTGTCACTGATACCATTTTGTGGATTTCGCTTTTGGGGCCTGCAGCCTTCAGTGAAACTACCTGGCTCTGTGGGGGACTGAATTGGACCATCACACTAACCATGTCCTACTAGAGATACTCTCTCTGAACTTCAGTCCTAGAAATGTCCCAAAAGGAAATCCACGTGTGAAATTAATGTTGACTAGAGGATGGTGCAGTAGAAATCAGGTATAGCAGAAGAAACAAATCCCTCCAAGTATTGCTGGTATTTATTTATTTTTAAATGCACTTGGTGCTCCTGCTTGCAAACTGGTGCAAAGAGCACCCATGGCTCTGCTTTTGTCAGCTCTGATAAGCCTAGAAATGCTGGGGGCTGCTGCAGGAGCAGATGGGAGATGCAGGAAGTAGGCTTGAAGTTTTCATAAGTGGCATTTTGTCTTCCACATCACTATGATGCCTTAGGCACTGTGCTTCTGAAGGGCTTTCCTCCAGAGATAAAGAGCTTCTTCATGCTTATTAAACATTGCACAGTACTTCTGAAGAGGTAAGAATATCTCCATTGATCACCACATGACACCGTGATCTTCCTAAGCAGAATCATGTGAAAAAAGTAAGACTCCAACTGGTTTTTTGGGGGGGAGTACTAGGGAAAATCAACCAATTCTTCCTTCAGAACTGTTCTTTCCCCTGCAGATACAGCCTCATCCCCATAATGTCAGACACCTATTCTGACACACTTTCTAAACCCACTTGGCAGCGGAGTTCACACCTGTGGATATTCAGCACATCTGAGACAATACGACAGAGAAGTTCAGGCCTGCAGAAATAGCACATTCCTCTCACATTAGACCTACTTCTTCTATCACAAAAGTTTTTGGGAATTCTCCCATTGCTTTTATTCAGAGCACGGAAAGAACAGGAAACAAACCTTCAAGCAAGCAAGCAAGGTAAGGTACATACAAGCTACAAGAAAGTAAGAGTTCTGTAGAAATAAATTCCATATCTCTATGAGGCAGAGCTCCAAGTATTTCCATGTTCTGCAAAAGAAGCAAAAAAAGGGCCTGCAACAGAAATAATTTTTATGGTCAGGAAATGTGTATACATATTGAGCCAATGTACTTCCACAGGATATGCTTCCAGCTGCACCGTATAATATAACCTCTGCTCAAGTACTCAAGAGCCAGAACCAGTCTTCACAGCAAACTTTTTCTTTATTTCAAGGGGAATTTTTTTACAGTTCTGTAAAAAGCAGCTATAAAGGCAAAAATAGGACACAAGGAAATGGAATGAAATTGCATCACGGAAAGTTCAGATTGGACATTAGGGAAAGTTCTTCAAGGAGAGGATGGTCAGTCACTGAAGAGGATCCTCATGGAAGTGGTCACGACACCAAGCCTGTCAGAGTTCAAGGATCATCTGGACAATGCTCTTGGTCATATGTTTTAGCTTTAGGTACTCCTGCCAGGAGCAGAGAGTTGGACTTCCTGGTCTTTATGAGTCCCTTCCAACTTCAGGTATTATATGGTTCTATATATATACAGAACCTACAGAGAGGTTATGATAGGCATAAGCTTTTTGGTGACTTTAAGGATTTGTTTCTTTTTGCCCAGGTTGTTGGGGATAAGTTGACAGCTGGAGGGCAGGGCTGCCACTTGGGGGGATCTCAGGAAGCTGGAGAAATTGGCTTAAAGGAACCTCCTGATGTTCGCCAAGAACATATGCTGAGTCCTGCAATTGGAATGGAGTAAACCCACACTGAGGGCTTACCGTTGAGACAGAGACTTTGCAGGAAAGGGCCTGAGGGTCCTGGGAGACAACAAAGTGAATATGCACCACCAGTGTGCCTTTGCAGCGATGACGGGTAACTACATATCAGGGTGTATTAGCAATAGTCAAGGAAGGTGACCGTACCTCTCTAAATGGCACTTGTGATTGATAGTACTGTGTTCAGTCTGGGGCTTCCCAGACAACCTACTGGGTGAACCCGGTACTAGGCCACCAGGGTTGTCACAAGAACATTCTGAAAGAAATGGATTTGTTCAGCTTTTAGAAGTCAAGGTAAAGGGGAAAAAACTCCATTGCTGTTTTCAGCTACCTATGAAGAGGGTATAGAGAGGAAAGAGGAATTCTTCTTGGAGGTAAATGGTGATGTGAGGCAACAGACACAAACTGCAACAACAGAAATCCCAAATAGATAACTATGAAAAAACCCACAACTCACGGGTGGGTGTTTGAAGACTGGAATTGGTGCCCAGGGAGGTTGCAGTATCTTCATCCTTAGAAATATTGAAAACTTGACTGAACAAGATTCAATGCAATATAACTTCAAATTTGGCCCTGCTTTGACAAAGAAGATGGAGCACATGCTTCAGAAGTCATCTCCAATCAGAATTATTTTATCATTGTATAAAAGTTTAGAGTATTCTCCATGTAAATCTGTTTTAAACATGAATAAAATGCTCTTGAATTTACTGAATGCTGAATATGATGCATAGCAAGGTGGCATAACATAATTCAGATGCTTCAAAGAGCTCATGTGAATGTGTTTCAGGCCCACACACAGCTTCTCTAGCTGCACAACATGGTTAGCAATTCAGAGAGAAAAGTATGTCTCAAAAAAGTTTACATTTTATAAAAATCCAACCTGTCACCTTTCCTTTGCATTAGTCATGAGGTTGCAGAAGTCAACAGAGTCAATTTTCAAATACTGGCACGGAGAATTCAGCCTCCACATTTTATTTGAAGGCAATACCTAAACATTCAGAGGTCTACCCTCCACTGAAGAAAAGTTTGGCCTAGACCAGATGGATTGCAGGCTAGGAGATTTGAGGAACTTGCCTGACCGTTACTTCCTTTGAGAAGTGAGTCTTCACCTTTGACTCAAAAGTGAATAACACAATCCTCTTTCCCAGAGAGAACTGAAATCAAAGCATATATACCATTCACAGAACCCCAGAATGGTTTGGACTGGAAGGGACTTTACAGATCATTTCGTTCCAACCCTCCTGCCATGGGCAGGGACACCTTCCACTAGACCAGGTTGCTCCAAGCTCCATCCAGTCTGGGCTTGAACACTGCCAGGGATGGGGCAGCCACAACTTCTCTGGGCAACTTGTCCCAGGGCCTCACCACACTCATAGTGAAGAATTGCTTCCTCAAATCTAATCTAAGAATAATCTACCCTCTGTCAGTTTAAAGCCACTACCCCTTGTCCTGTCACTACATGCTCCTCTCCAGACTTCTTGTAGGCCCCCTTCAGGCACTGAAAGGCTGCTATAAGGTCTCTCCAGTCTTCTCCAGGCTGAACAAGCCCAACTTTCTCAGCCTGTCTTCATAGGAGAGGTGCTCCAGCCCCCTGATCATCTTTGTGGCCCTTCTCTGGACCTGCTCAAGCAGATCCATGTCTCTCTTGTGTTGAACGCAGGACTGCAGGTAGGGTCTCATGAGAGCAGAGCAGAGGGGCAGGATCACCTCCTTCTACCTGCTGGTCACGCTTCTTTTGATGCGGCCCAGGATACAGTTGGCTTTCTGGGCTGCAAGCGCACACTGCCAGCTGATGTTGAACTTCTCGTTAACCAGCACCCCCAAGTCCTTCTCCTTAGGGCTGCTCTCAACCAGTTCTCTGCCCAACCTGTAGCTGTGCCTGGGATTGCCTCAACCCAGGTGAAGGACCTTGCACTTGGCCTTGTTGAACTTCATTAGGTATGCAAGGGCCCACCTCTCAAGCCTGTCAAGGTCCCTCTGGATGGCATCCTTTTCCTCCTGTGTGTCAACTGCACCACACAGCATGGTGTCATTGGCAAACTCAATCCCGCTGTCCATGTCACCAACAAAGATGTTACACAGTGACCCCTGAGAAACACCACTTGTCACCGGTCTACACTTTCGACATCAAGCCATTGACCTCAACTCTTTGAGTGTGACCATCCAGCCAATTCCTTATCCAATGAGTGGTCCATACATCAAATTCATGTCTCTCTAGTTTAGAGACTAGGATGCTGTGCGGGGCTGCCAAATGCCTTGCACAAGTCTAAGTAGATGATGTCAGTCTCTCTTCTTTTATCCACCAATGCTGTAACCCTGTCACAGAAGGCCACCAAGTCTGTCAGGCATGATTTGCCCTTAGTGAAGCCATGCTGGCTGTCACCAATCACGTCCTCATTTTCTAAGAGCATATACTAAGGCATAGCTTCCAGGAGGATCTGTTCCACGATCTTGCCAGGTACGGTGGCAAAATTGACTGGCCTCTACTTCTCTGGGTCTTCCCTTTTTCCAGTAGGTGGGAACATCACAGTCTGCCATGACTTCTGAAATATGATATATAATGGCTTGGCAACTCCATCCACCTCAGGACCCGCAGATGCATCTCATCAGGTCCCATGGACTTGCGCAACATCAGGCTCCTTAGATGGTTTTGAAGCTGATCTTCTCCTACAGTGGGTAGTTCTTCATTCTCCCAGTCCCTGCCTTTTCCTTCTGAAACTTGAGCAATGTGGCTGGAGCTCTTGCTGGTGACAACCAGGGCAAAAAAGTCATTGAGTACCTCAACTTTCTCCATATTACAGGTAACCAGGACTTCAGTTTCCTTCCAGAGAGGGACCACATTTTCCCTAGTCTTCCTTTTACCATAGGCATAACTATAGAAGCTTTTCTTGTTGCTCTTGACATCACTGGCCAGGTTTAATGCTATTAGGGCTTTAGCTTTCCTAACCTTATCCCTGGCTGCTTGGACAATTTCTCTGTGCTCTTCTCAGGCTACCTTGTCCTTGTTTCCACCCTCTGCAGCCTTCCTTTTTCTGTTGGAGTTTGTCCAAGAGCTCCTTGTTCATCCATGCAGGCTTTGTTTGACTTCCTCTTTGTCAGGAAGCATCGCTCTTGAACTTAGAGGAGGTGATCCTTGAATATTATCCAGCTTTCTCGGACCCCTCTTCCTGCCAGGGCTTTATTCCCTACAAAGCAGGTCCCTGAAGATGCCAAAGTCTGCTCCCCTGCAGCCCAGGGTAGTGTGCCTGCTGTGCGCTCTCCCCACTGCCCTAATGATTTTGAACACCATCATTTTGTTGTCACTTGAGTTTTGCATTTTCCACCAGCTCCTCTCTGTTGGTGAGAACAAGGTCCGGGATAGCACCTATCCTCAGCTCATCTATCACCAACACAGTCCAGGAAACTCCTGGATTGCTTATGCCCTGCTCTGCTGTTCCTCCAACAGATACTGGAATGGCTGAAGTCCTGTATGAGGACCAGGGCTTGTGAACATGAGACTGCTCCTATCCATCTATAGAGGGCCTCATCTAGTTGGTCTTCCTGGTCAGGTGGCCTGTAGCAGACCCCTATTATAAGGTCCCCTGTCCCTGCCCTCCCTTTAATCCTGTATGAGTGGTACCCACATGAAACAACAGCAGTGGACAATAGCCAGTGGACTGTTTGAGGCTTGGTAGTTTCTGGATGACACCCCTGACAAAACTCTCCAGAGACTGTGTCAGGTTGGCAAATGGGTACCTCTGTGCCTCTCAGAAGAGGTGCCTACTAAGAAAGTCTCTTTTCCATGTGAAGAGGCCACATCATACCTGTTGTGTTCTTACAGCATCCTTATGCCACAGGCAGGCACCCACAGAATTTCAAATAGCACACAGATCTGTTTTGAGTGGTGAGCTGTTAAGCTGTCTCCCCATATGTCTGATCTGAGCTTCTCCTTAACATATCACACAGATAATCATTTAAACTCTAACAAGCCTACATATGTTCCCTTACATTTCTCCCTCATATTTTGTGCAGAACAGTGACCGCAGGTGGAGTAGGAGGACAAACACTGCATCCTCTCTGAGTTTGTCATTGGCATTTTTCAAAGTCTTTGGGTCAAAAAAACCTGCAAAGTTTAGTCTGCTGCCTTAGCATCTCCAGGAGTGGATTTGATAACCTATGATGGGCTCTACTCTTACACAGGAAAAAACAAGCCTTTCCAGGATACATGTCAAGTTCTGCTCATGCCCCTCTTCTCCAGCATTTTCCAGATGGCAAATCCATTAAAGCATTAGGGAGGGAAATAGACACTGGAGTGCCAGTCTGATGAAAAGCACTGGACACCTAGCAGACAAAAGAAAGTATGAAGAGTGTCCTCAGGTGGAATGGGCCGGGAACGAACTGCAACCAGACAAGTCAGATATGATTCAGGCCACCAAATCGAGTATCCACGGGGCTTTGGGAATCCCACAACCTCAGGCTTGCCTTCCCCTGTAACTCTGAAATAAGAGTGAACGGCTGCCTGTTATGGCATCCAGGTGAAACTCTGAATTTTAATAAGTCTTTTGTTTTTCATTTAGTGGGTTGTATTTTTTTCGTGAAAGTAATGGCCTCTGGAACATAATCAGGAAGCAAAGCAAAGCAAATGCATGAAATGAAGAACTACAAGGTTTCCATTACGCTGTAATCAAATGGTGAGTTATTAATGCCAAGTATTTCTCTGACCTAGGAGAGGTTTACTGCTCCTAACAATACCTATAACATCAGCCCTGGAAACATCTAAACATAAGAAAAATAACCCCTTCCTCCCAAGAGAGGTTTATCTGTAATATTTAATTTGGGGTGGATATTGTCCCAACTCTACTTCAGGTACCACTTAACACGCTCTCAGCATCCCTCTTCATTGATCTACTTTTGGCTCTGCAGACTTTATTAATAGACAGCTTTATCACAAAAGCTGGTAAGTGTCACGACAACTTTACATTTCTCATGTCTGTACACAAAGAACCTGGAGCAAACACAGGCACTATTGGAACTCAGCTCTCAGGATGTTGTTTAATAATCAGAAATGCAGGGAGCTCACAGGGCTTAGCCTCCAACACTGTGCAGTGTGCATTCAGTGGTACATAAGCTGGTTTTCAGTACGAGCCAAGTCGATGACAGTTGATCATCCCCACTTGCCACGTAGGATGACTAACCAGCTTTTTCCTGCTACTCTTCTGGAGTGCTGTACCTACCTGCTGTTTTCCAGGTCACTCTGACTTTCAGCTAGGCTTGCAGCTCTCAGGAGCACAGCAACATCACCGGGCACTGCCACAGTCTTGCGACAGAGAATAGCTTCCTACATACTCCTGTTATGCTCCCTCCACCCGTTTTCCTGAAACTTGGAAGACCCAAACCTGCAATCTTGCCACACATTTGGGTGACCACCACTTGTAGCAGACCTCTCGTTTGGTTGGTTTTTTTGGTAAACGAGTATGACATGGTCAATATGATACAGTCTGAGGAAGGGATAAAATATCTATGCAAACAGATCTGAAGATACGGTGCTTTCTCCTTTGCTCCATGGCAGCATCCCGAAGCCCTGGCTGGGTGCAGATCACCCTGGGGCTGCTTGCCCCACCTCGGCAACGGAGCGAGCAGGCAGGGGGAACCCAGGGCCGCCTATGGGGCTCGTTTCAGGCTACTGCCGCCGGCCCTGCCTCACGGCGAGGGGACTTGTAATTCTCCT